GATGGGAAACTTTGAGACTTTCCCAATCTCGGGATTACCTTCAGAATCCAAACATGGCGCCCCGTCCTCGTCCACCACAACGGCCGGTTCGAACAGCGAATCCACGGCTGTCTTGGTAGACGGTTGCAAAATATACCACTTATCCTTGAAATCTCGCACATAATCCATATACATCCTAAATAGTCTATTCAACTGCTTAAGGGACACCCAATTGTGCTTCCCTCCTCGGGACTGCCGTTGCAGGTGAAAAACCATGAAGAACAGAGGAATCGTTGCCCCGATCCTCGGAAAGCGACAGGTGAGTTCGAATGCCCGGATAAAGGCAAACGCGTTAGGATGAATCTGGGAGGGGGCCAGGTTCAAGTGATTGAACACTCCCACCTGGAAGTCGTTGAAAGGTAACCGGAGCCCAAGATCTTTAAATACGATCTCGCACATGGGAAAGGCGTCATGTGTAAACTCCGAACAGATGCGGGCATCCCTCGACAGCCTCATGATCTTAAAGTTTCTCTGAAATCCCTCCTGGTCGCCGCCATACTCGACGACAGTGTAAGCTTGTCTGCCGGTATAACTATAAATCAAAGTTATTCCCCGGGGTTCCGCACCAACCCATTCCAGAGTAGGGTCGTCGACAGTGTCGACCAGATTCATGCTTTCGTCGCCAGTGCTTGTTTCCTCGGTATCGTTACGCTCTGAGGACTTGGGAATATCGGTCATTTACCTGCAAAGTACATGAAACCGATGAATTCGACAGCAAATCCGCTTTTCCGCCATACAGACGGGGGAAGTAAGCAACACTCAGACCGAGTCAACGGCCATTCGTACAAAAGACGGGGAACACGTGGACCTCGGCCAAACACTGACCTTAACGGCGGACGTATATCAATCATAAATGTCACGAGCATAGCATGAATATCACGAGCAAAGGATGAATCCCACGACCAAGTTCATAACATTGCTAGCCAGATACAAGAATACCACGGGGAAAACTAGCCTACATACTAACGAAAGGATGAATCCCCCGACCAAGTTCATAAATCTAAGCCAAACGCATGAATATCACGGGCACGATCATAAACCGCATGCCTAAACCTATGAATGTCACGGGCGTGATCATGAATCAGACGCCTAGAGTGTTTGAATTTCTCAGGCACAATCCCCAGACACGAAATTCTACCACTAAACACCATCAAAATCTATCTACAACATGAGATATCAAAGAAAAAGAACACTTACTTGGAAGAAGAGTGAGGAGCGACAGTTGTGGAGATGAACACACGGCAAACGGCGTGGCGGTCTCAGCAACACTAGGAAAACACGCGATGTTGAAGGCAGAGAAAATATGAGAACGTGAAGATATGAAAACAAGCTATGGGCCCTGAAGCCCTATTTATAGAGATGACGTGGAATACAGAACGTCGTATCGGGGAATCACAAACCGCCTTCATCCTCGACACCTACTCGCGTAGACAATGATGACCCTATTCCCTAGGCCGCCATTATGGTTTCCAAGAGCCACGCCACGTGTCTGACTAGTGTATCACCACCTCCCCGCGAGTGCTCTTCGAACACTCCTCGACCGCTGCACGGAGCAAATCACGAATCGGACGACGTCTCACGTCCACGATCGAAACCCCTGTGTCGCGCAAGCGAGTCTCGCGAAGGGGCGAACTTGAATCAAGTCATAACTCCCGTACCAGGAGCAACGACTTGGGGGGCTCCTGTTATGGACTGGGCCTGCCCTTGGCCCAACCACCAGTGAGCTCTAATCCAAGCTTGCCAACCTATTGCGTTGAGCAGTGTACCCATCGAGCACACCCCGATCATAGGTATCTGGTCGGCCATGAATGCATTCCGCCGATGCTCGCGAAGAATGTCCCCTCCGAGCACGCGCTCCCTCCGAGCACCCTTCTCGTAAAGCTGACTTTCAACCTCTCTAGATTGCACGGAGTCTTCATGGTCCCGAAAAGACCGCGTCTTTATCCTCCCTGTCTTGCTGAGGGCGTCATCCAGGTAGGAGGCCACGTGTGGGTCCCCACTACTCACGTAAAATCTGGAAATCTCTTTGTTAGGCCTGTTTGATCAGCCCAATAAAGAGACCTTGACTCATCGTTGGGGACTATAAATACCCTCTCTCATGAGAGGGTCAGGTATTCATTCATTCACACCTACATTCATCTTGCTTGCTCATTCCGCCTCTCACTTTGTCATCGGAGTGTCTTGCAAGTATTCCCCATCTCCTTCAAATCCAACCCGAAGTCAGCTGTGACGGTCCAACTCTGATCAAGTCAGATCATAGTAGAAGTATAATTCATTTATAAGAGTATATGTTACTAATATAAAAATTATATTTATAATTCATTAATTATTAAAATCATCAAATATTAATTGATAGATAATTATAAAAAAGAATCTATATATTAACTTTTTTATAGATAGATATTAACTTATAATTCATTCATAAGAGTATATGTTAGTAACATAAAAATTATATTTATAATTCATTAATTATTAAAATCATCAAATATTAATCGATAGATAATTTGTTTTGCTAATCCATTATAAAAAGAATCATATATATTAAAAAAAAATTATAGATATATATTAACTTATTATTGAAACATGATCATAGATTAAATCATTTTTGTATAACAGAAATCAACTGAGAAAGTGGATTAATGGTAAAACGATATTAGATTTTTTTTTTAATTGAATTTATTAAAAGTTTCATGGTTTTTAATTTTGTCTATAAAACAATTTAATTTATAAATTAAAAATTACACATATTAATATACATATAATAATATGATATTATTGAAATATTGATAAATAAATTAATGCTATTAAATTTATTGACTTTTTTTTAAACATTACGGCTGTTTATAAAAAGATTTCTGATGTTTATAACAAAAGAAGCGAGTACATGTTTACTATGAATTATTAGGAATCGAATTTAGTTTAGTTTTATTAAAAATAATTTAATTAAAAAATAGTTTAATAAAAAATAGTTTAATAAAAAATTGTTTAATTTAGTATTAAAAATATGCACATTGAAATTACAAATAATCATATCTTTATGCAAATTATATTTTTAATGATAAAATGGTAATATTTATATTAAATATGTTATAAATATTTATTTTAATAAAAAACATGAGACAATTATGATATATGAAAAACATAATTTTCTAATGAAAAATATAAATTTGTCATTCTTCAATTATTTTCTTTTTCTTTTTTTTTTTGTTAAAATATTTTTATTTATTTCTACTATTATTATTCATATTACTTTACTTGTGCGTTCACACATGTCTATCATACTAACACAGAAAGATATTATATAGATCGAACGAGTTTATCATACTAACACAGAAAGATACTATATAGATCGAACGAATTTATCATACTAACACAGAAAGATACTATATAGATCGAACGAGTTTATCATACTAACCCAGAAAGATACTATATAAACCTAATTATACTTTTTTACTCACAAAATTTATTTTTCTCCTAAGATAGATCAATTGGTTACCCAAGTTTCATAAGATAGCTCAATTGATTCCACAAGTTTCATAAGAGAAAGATAGAATGTGGTATACTTCTTAGCTCCTAAATTCTACATATAAACTTAGAAAATAAAAAATCTAACAACTTCACAAAAAAAAAAAAAAACGACATTATGCGACCCGTGCAAACACAATAGTCCTTTACTAGTGATGTGGAAAGTTTATTCATAAGACAATGAAAGTAAAAAGATTGTAGAGGATTGATGCCATATTAAAACTCAATAATATTAATCTTTGATTTATTCTTCAAATCTTGAAGATACAACTGATTTTAACTCCTTAATATAGAGGGTGTTTTGTAACAAACTTCTCAACAATTTCCTTCAACCAACTTGAACTAAGATTTAAATCTTAAGTCAAAAGATACAGAGAAAAAACTACATAACAGAAAAATAAAGGCTAAATCTTCTGTTGCTTTACCTCTATGTCTAGGAAAATTGTTCATCTCGAATGTCTTCTTTGAATTTAGTTATCATGTTTTCTTTGAATCTAACACAAAAAATTTCCACAAATTTATTACGCAGGGCTTTTTATGTTTGTGATGTTTTAAAGTGAAAATTATCTACAATTTTCTTGTTATTACATTTTAAACACTTTTGTAGTAGAAAGTGCTACAGATTAAACCATTTAATGTTGAAGTCTTGAAAAGGTACACTGATAAGGTGAAATTCCCTTATGAGGGGACATCGGCCGAATTGTTGAAGTCTCTGTTTCTTTCTTTTTTTTTTTTTTTTTTTTTTTTTTTTGAAAAGCAAAATGAAATAAATACTAAAAAGCAACTAGCATAAGTAATGGTAACTGAAACACAGAGTATACAAGATTAGAGTTATACATGAAAGATATCAGACCACAACTGGACACTGCTATCACACCAGAGCTTTAGAAAACCAACACCAAAAACAGATACAAGATACAACAAGCTCCTAAACCTAATAAACACCCACTAGCCCACATACCAGCAACACCAATCACACTAATTCAAATCCCAATCCCTTGACAGAACTGAATTGAAGTAGTGAAGTTTAGTGGTCAAATAGTGTTTGTTTCAGCAATAGTATCTTGAACCACAAAGTTTATCTCTGTTTCTTTGAGGATGGAGAAACAATGGAGTTATCGAGTAAGCAACAACTATAAGATGATTGGGAGTAGATGAGAAAAAAAATGCAGTGTAATGGGTTTAAGCTGTAGCGAAAAATAGACATTTTTACATTGACTAGATTTATTCAAGTTTTTAAGATTATTACGGAGTTAGATAGAAGATGTTACATTAATTACTCTCACTCACTCTACATGAGTCGTATATCAAAGCAATCCACAGTTACAATAGAAACACGCGTATTCCCTAACAGATCTAATAATGTAGAGATCATGCAGATTAAGGTAAATTAAGAGTCAGAAGCGACAATTACGAGTATTGATTGAAGAATAAAATCAAACAGTTGGTTTGCGTTGGAAAGCAGTACCAGGATCATCACCGCAGGGGAGAACCTCAAGGCCAGTGACAACAGCTTCGGACGGACCGCGACGACACCTCTGCTCCATTTCCTTCACCGCATCAAAACTACCGGAGAACAGAGCCTCCACAGAACCATCCCTCCGGTTTCGAACCCATCCCTTCAACCCCAATTCCGTGGCATTATCCACCGTCCAATTCCTGTAAAATACTCCTTGCACCCTCCCCTTTATCACCACCCTCTCCTGCAAAAGAAAAACATTAATCATTGATTCACCATAAATTGATTAATCAATTAACAAGCCTCGGCGAAACGCACCGTTTTGGTTGAAGATGAGTCTTGAGAAGTCGCCATAATAGAAAGCGGATGTCGAAGATTACAACGGGGATGGAAGATTCTAGAAGTAGTGTTGTTAGAAATAGAATTGTTCCAATACACAATGAATCTGGGTTGCGTAGGAATCACTCTGATAATGGTTGATGCCATGGATATCAATGAAACTGAAGCAGTGAGGGATATGATAGTAATAGCATCTTGTTTTTTCTAGAGTGATGTGGTGAAAGGATATTGGGCCTGGGCCTGGGCCTGGGCCTGGGTCAGGAATGGGCCGTTGTTTATACAATTGGAGAATTTGAGCCCAAGGAGGAACAATGGCGAGGAGGTTAGTTTTGAAGGTGTATGTATCTGCGAAGCACATGACGGCGAATGTGGTGGATTGGAACCATAAGAGGGTGCTGGCGAGTGCATCCACGGTCGAGAAATCCATATGCGACGCGTTCGAGTTGGGGAAGAATTGCGACAAGAAGGCGGCGGGATCTGTGGGTGAGGTGTTGGCGATGAGGCTGAAGACGGAGGAGCCGGAGATTGGAGGTGAAGGTGGCCTTTACATGGATCTTGACAAGGAGATTGAGAACAAGAGTTTCGATACTGGACCTGAGGTTTGGGCTGTTGTCGATGCTTTGAGGAGAAGAGGCGTTAAGGTCTTCGTCGACAATGAGGAAAGCGTAGTAAGGTCAAAATCGTAAATTCATCTTGTATTTTTGGTATCTATTTACTTGTTTCCCTCTATGTGTATTAAGTAAGTACACTTTGTTAAGCCAAGTTTCAATGGTGAAGTATGATCATTTTCAATGCATACTCTTTTTGTCTATAAAGTGTGTTTTCCATTTTGGATTGAGATATTAAGAAGCTTATAAGAGTGTTTGTGTTGTTAAAGTAATTTTTTTTTTTGACAAAGTCTTGTTAGTTGATAATCCATAACCATAATTTTCCTTTAGTTAATAATCCATAACCATAATTGTCCTAGGTTGTCAGTGCTTGGTGACTTAACAATTAACAAAGTTTGTTGATTAGTTAGATTGGTTATTGTTGGAAATTCATCAAATATTTATGATGAATTTCTAACAATTTTGATGAACAAGATTGATATCACCATACAATGATAATGAATTATGAGAAAAGAAAGAAGACAATTATTTTCTACAGAGTTTCTCTCTGTTCACAAACTGTGGAAAACTTTATTAATCCCTTGCAACTGCAAATTCTGTGATTAAAATGAATTGACTTAATTATAAAATTAGAGGTTATTCCCTTTATTTATAGATTTAGGTTAGTTTGCTCCCTAAGCAAAGTCCAAAACTATAAAAGTCCAAAATAATCTATTTTAGATCTAAATCAAATTTATCTAAAATCAATCAAATCTGTGTGTAGCTTACTTCGATCCACAAGTTTTTCGACTAGGCAACCTCCCTTCGACACACTGTTTCGACACAATCAAATTACAATTTAACCCACCACTTAATTCATTGTGTCTAAACTATCTATATTCATCATGGTTCTTAGTCTTCTGAATACTTCGACATGCACTTCCTTCGTCATGATGTCTGCAATCTGATTCTCAGTTCTACAGTATTCCAAATTCATCTTCCCATATGCTACCTGCTCTCGAAGATAGTGGAACCTCATTTCGATGTGATTGCTTTGACCATGTGCTATCGGGTTCTTCGTCAGATTGATAGCTGACATGTTGTCGATCTTCATGGTAATTGCTCCATGATCTTTCTCTGTTATCTCTTCGACCAAGTTCACCATTCAAGTTGTTTGACATGCACAAAGAGAAGCAACTATGTATTCTGCTTCGCATGATGATAATGTCACTACTGATTCCTTTCTTGAACTCCAAGCAACTGGTGCACCACCTAACATAAACACATATCCTACTGTTGATTTTCGATCTTCAGCATCACTACACCAACTCGGATCAGTGTATTCCACTAACTTATATTCTTTTCCTTTATCAGTTGCAGGAAAAAAAATGTCATAGCCGAGAGTTCCTTTGAGATACCTTAGTATCCTCTTCACCGCTGCTAGATGTGATACCTTTGACTTTTGCATGAATCTACTTACCATACCTATACTATATGCTAAGTCAGGCCTTGTATGACAAAGGTATCTCAATGACTCAATAAGTCTTCTGTATTGGATTGGGTCGACACCATCTTCATCTGCATCTTTCGACAGTTGCAGTCTTGGTTCTGCTGGTATCAAAGTTGAGTTGCATTCTTCCATCTCAAATCTCTTGAGAATTTCTCCTGCATATCTTCTTTGATGCATCATCAAACCTCTATTGCTCTTGTAGAATTCGATACCAAGGAAACATGAAATCTCACTCAGATCAGACATTTCGAATTCCTTGTTGAGATCACCTTTTAAGTCTTCGATCTCACTTTTGCAGCTACCTGTTATCAATAAATCATTCACATAGAGACATAGTATAAGCAATTCACTATTGCTTCTTCTTACATATACTCCATGTTCAGTTGTGCATTTCACAAATTCCTTCTCCCTTAGGAAACTATCAATTTTCTTATTTCAAGATCTTGGAGCTTGTTTCAATCCATACAAGGCTTTATGCAGCCTGTACACATTTCTCTCTTCGTCATGTTTCACAAACCTAACGGGTTGTTTAACATAAAATTCTTCGTTTAAGGGTCCATTCAAGAATGCATATTTCACGTCCATCTGACATATGTGTCATCTGTTTATTTCTGCTAGACCAACAACCAACCTGATTGTTTCGATCCTAGCAACAGGTGCAAAAACTTCATCGAAGTCTATTCCTTTTTTCTGTAGAAATCCTTTCGCCACAAGCCTTGCTTTGTGTCGAGTTACTTCCCCTTTGGAATTCATTTTCACTTTGTATACCCACTTGACATCAATTGACTTCTTGCCTTCAGGCAATTCGACAAGTGACCAAGTGTTGTTGTCTTCGATAGACTTCACTTCTTCGTTCATTGCTTTCACCCACTTTGAATCCTTCAATGCTTTAGTTGCATTGACAGGTTCGACATCTGCATAGAAAGCATAATATGCCAATTCACCTTCATTATCTATCACATCATCTGATGTAATCACACAATCTTGCAATCTTGCAGGCATGCGTTTTGTTCTTTGAGGTCTGCTTGTACTTGGTTGATCTATAACTACTGGTTCCTCTTGTCGAACTTCTCTTTCGACTTGAGTTTCTGGTTTTTCAAGTAGGATTCCCACTAAATCTTTCTTGACATTTTCAGGTTCAATCCCATTCTTTAAGCTCATTTATGATCACGTCTTATCAACTGATCTGACACATGTCTATGTGCAATAGATCCAAATACCTTCAGATGACTCAAGCTAGGCTTCACACTAGACCAACATTCTTCTGGAGTAATTCTTTCTAGCTTCTTTGTAGGACATCTGTTCAAAATGTATGTTGCAGTCGACACAACTTCACCCCAAAACTCTTTAGGTAAATTCTTGCCTTTCAACATACTTCTCACCATATTCATGATGGTTCGATTCTTCCTTTCTACAGTTCCATTATGCTGTGGAGTATAGGGTGGCACCACCTCATGCACAATCCCTTCCTTTTCACATAACCTGTCGAAGTCTTTCGACACATACTCTCCACCACCATCAGTTCTCAAAACTTTGAGTTTTCAACCACTTTGTCTTTCGACCATAGACTTAAACTTGGCAAATACCTCGATCACTTCACTTTTCTTCTTGATCGGGTAAGTCCACAGCTTTCGAATGAAATCATCTATGAATGTAACAAAGTATTTGTTACCTCCCATCGAATCCACCTGGATTGGTCCACATACATCAGAGTATATGACTTCAAGAATAAGCTCCGACCTGCTTCCTGCATTCTTGCTGAAGTTATTCTTGTGCTGCTTCGCCTGCACACATTCGTCATATACCTCATTTGGAATGTCGATTTATGGCAATCCTGAAACCATATTTCTTCTCTTCAAATCTCTGATGTCTTTGAAGTTGAGATGACTTAGTCGATAATGTCATATCCATTCATCTCTACTAGTTGCAGTCGAAAGGCATTTGTGCTCCATCACATTTAGTTCGACCTTGAAGGTTCTATTCTGAGACATATGAGCTTTTAAGATTAATCTTCCATTTGCATCGATGACTCTCATCATCTTATCTTCGATCGACACTTTATAATTCTTTTAGACCAACTGCCCTATACTTAGCAAATTGCTCTCCGTGTCTGGTATGTATAACACATTGGAAATTACTGACCTCTTGCCATCTTTCATCATAATCATAACATCACCAATACCTTCAGCTGCTAGGGTATTGTCATTTGCGAATTTTACCATATTTTTCATTGAGGGCTTTATGTTGACAAACCACTCTTTCCTTCCAGACATATGTGATGAGCATCCTGAATCCAAGTACCATTGGTCCTTGAATCTATCTTTATCTCTTGTTGTGACCATCAACATCATCTCTTCTTCTTCATGTTTTGTAAACTTTGCATCACTTTCTTGATTCTTTCGCTTTTCTAGACAATCACTCGAATAGTGACCATACTTCTGACAATTGTAATATTGAATGTGACTCTTCTCAAGTTGTCGACCACCACCTCTTCCTCTATTTGCAACACCACCTCTTTGGTTGCCTTGGTATGGTCTTCTCTAATTCGTCACGTTTCCTTCATTCTCGTTTCCTCTATCAGTCGATTTGTTGTAGCCGTCTCTACCTCTATCGAATCACTTTCCTTTGCGTTTGCTTTCTTTTGCTGAATATGCCTGCAAAGCCACATCACTCTTCGATTTTCCTGCAGCTTTTTCAGTCATTCTTTGTTCATGAGATTCAAGCGTACCTTGAAGCTCTTTCTTTGTCAATTTCGACAAGTCTTTCCCCTCTTCTATAGCCACCACCACGTGGTCGAACTTAGGAGCCAAAGATCTCAAGATCTTCGAAACAACAACTCTTGTTGTTAATGTTTCTCCACATACCTTGATTTGATTCACTAGTTTTGTAACCCTAGTGAAGAAATCAGATATGCTCCCACTATCTTCCATCTGAAGCAATTCATACGTTCTCTTGTGAGTTTGTAACCTCATTTATTTCACCTTTTCTGCACCACCAAAAGACTTCTCAAGAACCTCCCAAGCTTCTTTTGCAGATTCTGAATCACTCACTTTTTCAAAATTTTCTGGACTCAAACATTGATGAATTATAAAGAGTGCATTATAACTCAGCTTCTCATATTCTATGTGTTTCTTCTTTTCTTCTTCTGAAGCGTTTTCTCCAAGCGCTTCCAATCTATCCTTTACAAGATCCCAAAGACCTTGACACCTGAATAAAACTTTCATTTGTTTGCACCAATTCTCATAGTTGTCTACTTTCAGAATTGGTAGAGTTGCTGGATAATTTGCATTCTCATAACTCGCCATCGTAAATTCTTCTTCTTCCTCAATCATTCTTGATCGATACTTCCCTTGAATCGACTAATTGAGCTCTGATACCAAATGTTGGAAATCCACTAAATATTTATGATGAATTTCTACCAATCTTGATGAACAAGATTGATATCACCACACAATGAAAATGAATTATGAGAAAAGAAAAGAAAAGAAATAAGACAATTATTTTCTGCAGAGTTTCTCTCTGCCCACAAACTGTGGAAAACTTTATTAATCACTTCCAACTGCAAATTCTGTGATTACAATAAATTGAC